AGAGAGAGAGAGAATATTTTAGTAAGAACGAATATATAAAGGAAGGTTTATATTATTGCCACCAAATGCTTTTGAGGCTCAAAGAACTAACCAAGTGGCGAAAGGTGCGAGAGAGAGAGAGAGAGAGAGAGAATATATTTTAGTAAGAACAAATATATAAAGGAAGGTTTATTTTATTGCCACCAAATGAACTAACCAAGTGGCGAAAGGTACAGTAGGTGGTGTGGGGAGGTTAGGTTATTAAACTTTTTTCCCCCCCTTAGTAATAAAGATCTAGGATGGGAGTCAAGCTTTACTTTAACGTCTCTTTAAAAAGCCACAGAGAGAGAAGTCCAGCCAAATCTGCAGAGAAAATAAAAGAGGGGGAAGCTTCCTATCAGAAGCACGGGGACAAGTTGAACTTTGCTTTGAAAACAAAGTTGGGCTCATGTAACATCTCCGCTAAGGTTCTCCTTCCCTTACACATCTGAGTCTGTAGAAGAGAAACCAGGAAACAGCCACCTCCACCCCCGCCTTTTCAACGTCCCTGATTTGTCAGGTCAAGGCCAAGGGAAAAATATAGGGAAGTCTCCCAAACACAGGAGCCAGTGCAAGGATGTCAATTTAAGTTCAATGCTGAAGTAAAAAATAAAGAGCAAAAGCACTCTTTAAGAAGGTCCTAGACACATCTGTGGAAGGCAATATACAACTAAGGCTCAATAACCAAGATTTCAAATTAATCGTTTACTATCTCTACTGCCCTTGGCAATGACCGGCTACCTAAAAGATATGGGACCTTAAGCGTTCTCTCTTGTAGGTACAAGGGGAGGACAAAACAGAAGGAACTGGATGCTGCCCGTTTTCTTTCTTCCTACCATTCCAACTGAAGTACCCTAAGAAAAACATATGAAGGTTCAAGTCCTCTTATCTCTTTTCCACAAATCAAGCGGCCTGAGTAATTCTCAAAAATCAGGGGCGACCATAGGAATGAGGAAGGTGGTTGCCGGCACATCTAATTTGCTATGAACCGCAACTGGTCAAGGGCTGACTGGTTTAGCCAACACCCTTTTGAGTCAAACACAAAAAGCTGCAGCCTGTATCTGTTTTCTCTGTTGGCATCGCTCCCCGGCCCCACCACCCACATCTGTATTCTCAACTTTTGACTCTTGCCACAGTGAGGACAAAGGGAAAGGACAGGAAAAGAAAAAAATAAACTGTAACTGCAACATCAATTTCTGAATAGATCTCAACCTTCTTATCCTCTTCCCCTCCAACTTGTAACTAAGCACGAAAGGTTTCTGCTGTTGTCCCCCAGCAGTTAGGAATAACTTGATAAAGTTTACACTGCATTTGCTCTTTTGACACATATGTGCTTCTCGTTATTTCTACTTGGGGTGGGGGGACAGGATGTTTACTTGAGAACCGATATCTCACGTCCCTCTGTCGCTTTGCCTATGCAGCCTCAGTGAGTTATTACTCAGCAATTGTGAACAGCAGCTGACGGGGCTTGTCCATAGTTACTCATAAACAAGTATGAGAAACACCCCAAAACCCCAAACCCATTTGGATGGTGTTATTACGTCTGCATACATGAGGGGGTAACTCATCCCTCTCACATCAGATTGGCTTAAATAAAACACTTTAGGGGAAGCATACATCTTCACCATGTCCAGAAGGGCCGACGAGGAAGCCTACAACCTGTCGCTTCTTTGGAGGTGGAGACAAGAACCGGGTGGGCATGTCAGAGTCCCAAGGAGGGACGAGGCAGAAAGGGTGAGCCGGATTCCAGCAGCAGCCAGTCCTGCAATATACCCTCCCTGCCGGGCGTGTTCCTAGGCTGATGCTATTTCCGAAGTGTCTAGTGACACCTGTGCAGCTTCATGTAACCAAGGCTGCTACTGAGAGCCTCTACCCTGCCTGTGACCTAGGCCTGACCTCTACCTGTTAAGACCTACATTCCATTTATTAAGCCTCACTGGATTGTCAGAAAGCATTGGGGCAAGACAGAAGGGTTAACTGGGGTTTCTGTATGACAGACTGTCAACGTGCAGCAAGAAGGGCAGATGTGGGCAAAGAATTGGCCAGGATACTCAGCATCGCCACCCCAATTCTATGCTTGCTTTACAAGTGCTTCTTCGCTCGCAATTGCACTTTTTGAAGACGTACACAAAAAATTACCCATCCGGCACATCCCACTTCATTACCTTCCACTCCCTGAATACCTTTGATCTCTCCCCACCCATCATCCCTTTCCAAGACCGAATTACACAAAGGATCAAACAGAAAACCCACAAGGCCATGAAGATCTTGGTGGCTCAGACTGCCTTCGGTGACACCGAGTGCAGAAATCAAAGGGGACAGCTGGACAAGAGCAATGTGAG